AATGAATGCCAAAAACTTATATAGCACGTATTACATGAATATATAAATTAAATGATTCTTCACTAGTTTTTGGTACATCTACGGAGCCCTCACACATTTGTTGACTAACTTAGCAAGTTCTTCGCTTTAGCCTATATTTGCTACGCTTTTTAACCTCGTCTTGGTCAATAATTTGCATAATTCGCAAAACTGTTTTTTGTTTGACTGTAAGATAGTATACATGTTACAACCTTTTCCAAATGGATTTGTTACCCAAGCAGAGCCCAAGTTACCTGTTCAGTTGTACTACCCGATCGACTTCAGTTGGGGTTAAGGGTAGAGATAAAAGCAAACAAGGCCAGTGAACTAACCCGTAATATATACATCTACTAAGGATGCTCTGGTCTCCCACCGCTCATGACCATGAAAATTTCTCTTCAGTTACTAGGGCTTATTTTTATTGTGTAAAATGTTACCAGCCAAGCTGGCTAGCTAGCTATGTGCATTTATATGAATAATCTATCTACTTTGGTTGCTTGGTAGGTGTTGCTTAGGTACTTTTGTACTACTATGACTTAATACACTTGTACAAGAGTAGGAACTCTTTACTCTCCCTTAACCATGAAAAAGTGATGCAGTACTAGCCTAATTTATCTATTCAGAAAAACACTATATCTTGTTAAAAAAGCTACTAAGGCCTGAAAAAACAATTTTTATAACTTTCTGAAAGTAAAACAGAATTATAAAGGTAAATTATTAAAGATACATCAAATTATATAAAAAGATAATTTTTGTTTTAAATAAAATACCTCATCCTAGTAGTTATAAAAAAAAAAAGATAACAATAGCCTAAAAGATGGAAGTAACGATCGCATACCGTTTCTTTATTGTTTCTGTTGCACCATAATCTTAAACAGTTACAAATGACAGCATAAGTGAAAAAAGAAAATAAAAATTTAGGCAATAAAAACAATTATGGCTTTAAAGCAGTCAACGAAAACCTTCAAGTGCATAAAATGATTAAAATTAGTCAATATACAAGAATATCTATCAATTATTTTATCTTCATAACTTGCTCTTTTGTCACGATTACAGACATATCGGTATAATATACTGGGTATTTTAAAAGCATAACTATTTAAAAGTGGAAGGATATTTTTTTATCATCATGTCTGTTTTTGGATCATTATATCTGTAATATAAAAATCACCCTAAAGTTTTTAATAGTCATGCTCCAAAATCACCTACTATGTGATATTATAATGTCTGTAATACAAAACTATCTGTTAAATTCGCTCATTTTTTCTATGCTAAGAAGCATTATGCACAAGAGGTAAATATGAGAGCACAGGTAAATTTACCGATTTTGTCATCAAAGCCTTGATAAACATTTTTTTAATGATCATGTTATACGTCAATGTTTTTATTCGATTACTTAATTAATTTATGTTGAAATTTTTCAGCTATGATGCCTACATAGATGATGTACAATGGTTCTTATTACGTTGGTGTTCTATCAAGTATGATACATAAGCAAAAAAAAATTCAAAAACTAGGTTACCCAAAAAAATTGTATTTTACAAAGTTACTAAGCAAAATGTGTAACTTTATATCCAAGCAGATGAACTTGGGTGTTTGTGTTTATGCAAATAAATAAATAAATTAATGTTTTAACTTAAGTGTTTGATAAAAGTGGCCAAAAAAGGCAAATAGTTCTCCCATGCATCAAGGTTGGGGACAACTCACACGTTCTTAATAACAAAAAGCATAAAAAAAGAATATGCAAAGCGATTTCTTATCATTAAGTACTTGGGATATTTTAGGTACAGAGAATAGTTATTATTTATGTTGTTAAAATGTATTATTTGTGATCACATGCAAAATAAAAATGAAATTTCTTTATTTTTACTGCTGTTATATTTAGTAAATTTGTACAGTGTTTTCAATAATGTTTATTTAAAATACTGCACGCCACATAAGTTATGTGTCAAAACAGTTTTTTTTTTTTATATCATTTCCCACCATTCCTTGTTATTTAAATTTGTCTGTTGTAACAATTGACTTTAAAATAAGTATTGGTAACCTTATTTTGCTCAAGCTTGTTAAGTGAAGAAAAGTTCAGAATTTAAATACATAGTGCTTGTACAAAATTTTTTATTGGGGGTTGGCACGAGGACATAGACGAAAATAAATAAAATATCGTAAGAGAAAGAGAGAATGTTAGTGGTTGATAACTAGTCTCGTACTGTTTTTTTCTCTCTTCTGAGAAAGAAAAATTATTAAAATTTTAAAGCAACTCAGGCAAAAATTACTATTTTGTACAATAAATGGGATGAAAGCTGACAAAAAAATAATTATCACTTGTAATAGTAAAGATTATTGTTTTAACAGTAAAAGTTATAGTTTAAATAATTAGAGTTTTAGTTACAACAGTAAAAATTATCGTACACGGACGGTAAACTTTAAAGTTGCATTGTAATGCGTTCGCATCCGCCACGTTCTTACAGTCCTGATTCTGGTAAACGGCAGTGAGATCACACACACCAGTTTTTTACCATACTGATCCTGCTCAGTGGTAGTGCGTTTGTGTACGTCATCTCATTGATATAATCAACCGTCTGAGTGGAAGTGTACTTGTGCACTCCATCTCCAAATCATCCTGAAGTAACTAAGTGGCAGTGTATTCATGCCCACCGTGTCCTTGTCTTTCTTACTTTCTAGAGCAATAGTGTATTTGCGCATGCTACAATTTTTTTTCTGCTAATAATATACCTGCAGTTCTATTCAGGTCATGCAGGCAAAGTTATCGATCTCTATGATGCTCAAGTACAATAGTGGAACAAGCATGCTGATTACATTTTTATCCTATCTATGTTAAGGTCAAATGGGGTGAACGGTACAGTTATTGACACCTTAAGGTAGTGATTGACCCCTGTATAATTTGTATATCTGTATATAAAGGCTCCATTTAAAAATGCATGTGGCGGTCAATCACTATCGGGGGGTCAACAACTGTACTCTTTACCTATGTAGTGTTGCATCTTCTACGTCTTAAGTTGCATAACGGTAACATAATTACATTTTACTGATACATTTTACGGCTAAAAAACTTTTTCCTGTATTCATTACCCTTTTTAATAGTGGTAAAAGAATTAAAGTAACTGTGTTTATTGTAATCCTTAGTAGCAGGAATTAGATTATTATCTAATTAAGTTGCAACTAGATAAAAAAATAATGGTAATATAAATTATCACTGATTTTAGATTAGCTGTGGCAGAAGAGCACACCCCGAGCAGTTAAAGACGAGTAGAAATGCGCCTCTTGATTAGTGAAGGTCTAAGAGTACTCATGAGATAAATCTTTTAATGAGAGAGGCTGAGACTCACCTGGTAAGAAGCTGTATTTAGCTAATAGTACGCAAGCAAAGTCTTTTTCTGTAGGCCTAACATAGCAGTTATTGATATCACTTAAAACCCTACATTTGTCGACTATTCCTTGTTTTTAATTAAATATAGTTCGATCAACTGTTCGTTGCAAGGTGGACATTATGCAGGATTGTAGATAAAATTTTTGGAATAGCCATGATAAGTGAATGCGTTTTTTAGTAGCACAAATTTAATACGTTCGTGACACTTTTAGTAGTAACGAAAACAATATATTTTTCCTTCCATTTTTGACGAACCACAGTCAAATTACTTAAAAGTGGCTCGTTACAGCTGAAAAATGGTATTTTTTCTTGAATCCCACAAATTTAGACTCACGTTATTACAATTTTCTGAAATTAAAATGAATTTTTCAATTTGCAACATACGTAAATCAAAAGAGTTGATGGCTGTCGATATTTTAATTTAAAACTACAAATTTTGATATAAAGAAAAAATTAATAAAGTTTATAAAGACACTTAACTCTACAGTTGCGATTGAAGTTTTTCGGTTATGTCAGTTGTTGTACTACGAAGACTCTATGAGAGTTATCCAGAGCACAATCTTTTGTGAATCTGGGATATGGGTCAGAAAACCTAGAGACTTGTTACGAACAGTTTGCTCTGAAGCGATTGTCAACGTATTTCAAATTTTCGAGTTAGGGTCTTTTATATTTTTAAGTAAATTTGTTTTTTACGTATAAAATTAAGCACTGGATAAATGTGGACCATTTTATTTTACACAATTCTAAGTTTTAACTATTCTGTTTTATGGAAGTATTGAATACCCGTGCAACATCATTTATTTGTTCATTTATTTGAATTGTATAGTACAAACTTTCAATTTTTACGGTGAAAGTATGTTTCAGATTATATCCACATATAATCTAGTGTAAAATTTGGAAAACTTTTCTGTCTTGTATAGTAAAGTAAGAGAAATCTATACAAATGAAAACGACAAACGGTGTTATATTTTAGGGAATTTCGTTGATTTAAGTAACTAAAGGCAGTAGTCTGTAACAACCTACTATTACTAAGAGCCACTCTTCATTGTCAATAGTAAACTGCATTTTTTAAGTGATAATTATTTTAAAATTTTCATTTCTTTTTACGAAGTGAATTTTTTTAGCAACTAGCAGAAAGAGTAATTTTATAACTGCTACATGAAGATGTAGGATAGTGAGTGAGGAGAGGTGCGTGAAGCAATATTTTATTGCGGTGAGAAAATTCATCTTACGAATTTTTTCTTGATAAATTGTGAAGATAAATGTGGCTCAATATTAATTTATTTGTTCAAGTCTTTTTCAACAACGATTTAAGGTAAATAAAACTAGAATGCGATGTAAATACTTCTTGAAACTGCTAGTCTAGACGTACATTGTCTATTACTTTTGCTTTTTTCTCTTGTTGACTACATACTGAGTTTCATTGTTATGGTGACAACCATTTTCATGAAACCAACTAAGTAATACTGTACGAAATAAAGAGTTGTAATAGAATTTTTTTCATATTAACACAATATTTAAACAAAATTTTGTCTTATTTTATCTAATAAAAATACAATATACATTACCCAAAAGATTTCTTTATTTTTAATAGACAAACAGCAAGAACTTGATTTACCGTCCCTACGCATTGATGATACGATATTTGCTAGTAAGGATGCTCGAATATCTAAGAAAAAAGATAGAGTTCAACGGAGTCCTGCTGCCATGTCACATATTAGTGGTGTGAAACGGCCACTGACCCACACTAACAGCTTCACCGGTGAGCGAGTACCACTTTATGGTGTGGAAACACCATATGAAGAAGATCTTGGCAAGGTATGACTGCTTATACCTTATAACTGTTTATTGCATTAAAAATATTAACGATTTAGATTTTTAGAGCAGAATTTGTATTTTTCAATTCATAAATGAAACAGGTTTAATTACAGAATGGCTGACACAGATTTGTATGACAATGAAGCATACTTGCCATTGTGGTATAAATAATAATGTGTTTGATTATTATATTTAAATCTCCGATAATGAATTAGTAAGGTCCATAATATTACATGTACACACACGTATATATGGGTCATTCAACTGAAAACGGGATATTTAAAGGGCCAGAATGGACAAATACTTAAAACAGGTTTTTAATTTTTCTAAGACAATTTTTGTATTATTTTTGACCAAAGTTAGCTAAAATTTTTTGGGCTTTGCTGGATCTGAATAATAAAAATTTTTCTAGTTTTTTTTTTATCGTATTTTTTAAGAATAGTAGCGTTGTATGTTGAAAAAATCATCTTAAGATAATGATTGAACCACTCACAGTAAAAGTTTATCTGTATCCTTGCACTTTTACGAGGTTATAAGTCCCTTATATTATATACTACATTATCTAAGTCGATAATGAAATAGTGCACAAGGATATGATTGCGATTCGTTCAAAAAAAGGAGCGTTACAAGTTCGAAAAATCATCTTTAAATTATGATGATAGCACTTACAGTGAAAGTTCAACTTTATTCTTGTCTTCTACAATGTACTGTGTTCCTAATATTATGAACTATACTATTTCAGGTGATAAGTTAAGACTCAGTAAAGATAAAATGTGTATTATATTAATACGGTATGGCGTTACAGGCTCTTAGCAAAAAAAGGAGCGCTATGGGCTCTTATAAGATCGTCGAAAAATCGATGTTGTAACGCACTAAAAGCAAATTTAGCTTTACCACAACACTTGTATTGTTTAAAAAATAGCTTAATTTGGACTCACCACCTTCTGAGTCAATAACCGAAAACTTCAAAAAGTTACATAACATTCTTAAGCGTTACGGGCTCTCAGAGCTTATTTTGGGAAGACACGATCTTAAAATTTGCAAGCATGTAGAACTGCCTTAATTGAGAGGATAAATCAAAGAAAATTCCAGCAACATCCTCTACCTTTGTCAAATACAAAACACCCTAATATAAATACCAATATTAAACTGCATGCATTTGAAAAAGTGTTTTCCATTGAAATTTTCAGATTGCAAATTTATAAAATTTTGGTCCCGCAACTTTAACAGCAGCCAACTCTTGGATAAAATTTTTTTTAGGCTGTGTTAAATGCGTGAAAATGTTGAGTTCATTGATCAATTTAAGATCCCATATCGTAGAAAAATTAGAATCCCCCAGTGTTTCAGCCCAGGTGTCATCAAAACTGCAAGTTTTCGAATAAGACATGAGCCCATAACGCTAATTTAGCTTTTTTTTTACATCTCAAACCTAGTAAATACTTCTTTATGGTCCGAATTCTAATGTACGTGAAAAAATGAGCATTTCTTAAATAATTAAGAAAATTTTAGATTAATATTTTCTAAAACGGCTTTGTAATCGACTGAAACATGAAATCTGCTATTTTCAATAGAATTACAATTATATATACATATATGCTTAGAAAACGAGACTTATGGAGACTTCTCGTGCTTTAAAGACATATATTATTAAGATGGTGGAATTGTACGCATGACTGCATAATTCTTTATTTGTCCACGTAATAACACGCCTCCATGCATATGATTTTTCACATAAGTCACCATTTTGAAATACACACACACACACATACACACACACAAATGTATCATACACAGTTGTTGAATTTTGAAGTTTTCAATATTTTTTGGTGGTTGGTGCGCGACGCACGCAGGGAGACAAAGTTTTACTAGTTTATATATACACTAGTAAAGCTTCGCCCCCCTACAAGCATCGTGCACCAACACCAAAGAAATATTAAAAACTTTCAAATTCAATAACCTTACATGATTTACATTTAATACCTCCAAAATAATGGACTTGTAAGATTTATAACTCATTGTTTCTCAGTTTGTTTACTTTTCCTAATGCTGTTTCTGATATTCCAATGCACTTTCAATATACGAGTAACATACGTTTTCGTGTAACAATATTTTATTACATGATTAATACAACTTATACTTGGAATTCAACTATTTACGGATGGAAATTTTATACTAAAGGCTTTTTTGTAAAAAAAAAAGTCTGCATATCTGTATCATCGTATAAATTAAAATTTTTGGTGATTAATATTTAATAATATTATTACATCGTAGCAATATGGTACTTAAAAGCTGTCCTGTTATTCAATTTTGTAAAATTAATTTCTTACTTAAATGCAAGGTTTTAAAGATAAATGTCAAAGTTATATTATGCATAAAAAACTTCGCAACGTGGGCATTTCCTTTTTTTTTAAGTAAGAATTAAGAAATACAGTGCCCTAGCAGGTAAGTATTTTGTATTTTTTCACTTGTTAAAAGTCTGATTTTTAAGACGCATTCTATATATTTAAAAAACTATCAAAAATTTCTTAACGAACAATGTTTTTATTGTTTGCTTGGATCTTTGAATCATTTTGTATAAATATTTGTTCTCAGGATTTTTACATCTTGATACCAATACGTACAGTTGTCCATAAGAAAACAAAAGTCTTTTGTAGTAAAATCTTAATTCATTAAAACTTTAACCTTGTGACTTATTGATTGCCATGGAAAAATCTAGAGCTATTGAAAACTGTTTTCTGTGTCTAATAAACGGTAAAGATAAATTATTGGTATTTAACGTGATTTTTGAAATAAAAACTTTATTACCAGATTCTTACCAATAATTTTTTCTCCTTCTTGATTATTTTTTAATAATTTTGTTATACGTTCTCTAGTGCCATTATACAAGCTATTGAACATACTTAAGTTTCTTAGTAACATAACAATATCATTGACTTTTAAATTTTTAACATTAGGTGGTAATTCTTCATGTATATTTTTTAGAGCTTCCATAGAAAAATTTATGTATGTATTATCATCAGTGCGATCACTACCTCTGTATTTTCATAATCTATGCTGTAAGAATTGTGTTTCTTTCTTTAATACAATTTAAAATTTTATTATTTAAAATATACGAAAGTTCGTTATAAGCTTACTTTAATTTATTTTATTTTAATTAACGTTTACAAATTACTTTGGTTATGCAGCTATTTATGCCATCTCCATGAATTTGTTTACAAACATCAACGGTTCTCCATCCCTGGGGAATTTCAAGAGACTCTATCGTTCGATTTCAAATGTCCATTAACAATAATGAAAATCCTAAATCTTCACACCACATATTACTTTTCAATTTTATAGTTTTAAAGTCTTTTCATATAAATAAATGCTTTATAGTTTTAGTTATTATAGAGCTTTTACACTCATGCTTTATTTGTATGGAAGTATTTGTCTAAAATTGACTCCTTAAATAAATAATTTTCCACCGAATAAAATACTTTTATTATATAAATTTTTTGAAGTTGTATCCACTTTTTGAAAAGCTTTTATCATTTAAGCTTCGTACCAAAGAATTACATTCACTTTACGTAAATTTTTTTTATCAGATTCGAATTCAAAAAAGAAGTTTCAATGTTATTCGAATCAAATAGTAATCAAAATTTTCCATGACTTGTTCTTTTTTGAGGTAATAAAACTAAAGCAGTTTCTTCTGAAGCCATAGATATATCCTTCTTCTTTTTAAATAAAAAATAAACAATTATAAATTTGTATAAAAATGTTTTGAAAAATCTCCTAAGCCACTAATGAAATATTATTTTGTGTCACTGTTAATAATTTTATTGAAAATTGTTTTTTTTTTTAAATAGTATTCAAGTTGATAAATAATTGCTAAAAATCTGTTTTTAAATCTATTACAGTTTTATTATGCTCAATATCGTAAGACTTAACTGTTATATTTGCCTCTGGTAGTCCATAATCTTTACATAATTTTTCTTCAGATTTAAGGATTTTATTTAAATGGGATAGTTCTTTTTTTTTATTGTTTATAAAATGTTTAGTGAAAAATTTGTTAAAGTGATTCTCAAATAGATTTACCAGAAACGTCTTTAGATATTAAAACCATGCAAATAGTTTTCTCAGTTAATATGGTAGCATAACGTTACAAGCTTTTTTCATTATTTTATGTGTTTGAGAGTCGTGTTCAACTTAACCTAAAGCAATAGCTCTATCTCTCAAGGTACTGTAATTTATATTATCAACTGTTTTTAAACTTTCGAAAGATTTAGCTCCACTGGCCCTGTTTAAAGTTAATAAAAAAAAAAAAAAAACACTCCGAGTTCTTAGGTGACACTATTTTTCGTCACTCTATTGTTAAATTTCGACCAACTCTTTCTCTTTCAACGCAAGTTTTTGCGGTCAAACTCAATCAGTAAAATCCTGAAATATTCACATACCTAGTTTTTCTGTGAAACCATCTGTTTTATTTAATTTGAAATAAGCCATCACTGCTGTTTCGGAGTTGTCTATAGCTTTAAACACATTTTTATTTTGAAAAATTTAATTGTGTTTATTTTCAATAATACTGGTGAATTAAAGACAGAATGACTACGTATGCACAGAGAGAGCTCTTGAAATTGCCATGCTGCTTTCATGCGGCCTAAATAGTGGCCATCTACATAACCTGATATTTTATCAAAAATTACTATAGGGTTTTTTTCATCACTTGTATCTGTTTTAGTTATTTTACGTGATGCTCTATCTTCTTCTATATAAATATAATTAAAAATATACTTCATACTTCAAATAGATGCACAGTACTCGACATTAATGTGGCAATTATATTTGTTTAACAAAAATGGATTGTATGGACTACCATTAAATTATCAACTGAAATTTTTCATTGTTATTTTTGATTCCATGTATGTGATAATCACATCTATTGTTAGTTCTTTTTTTAATTGTGTATCTATTTTTGTAAAAAGAGTATCATTAGTAAGTTTTTTTTTGGACTTTTTTGTTCA